AATAGCTTTGGTCGGCGACGAAGACTTTTTCAGACAATCTGAGGAAGGCGCTCGTGTCGGCAATTGATTTCATCGTCCTTGCTATCTATTCCTTTGGATGTTTCTAATTTCTTCTGCTCTATCTATGATATGGAACCTACTTCTGCCAACACCGAACGTAGTATCGGACATCCAAAATCCTACATGGTATGTACTTCGTTATGAGAGAGCCGAACATAGTTTGCTTCAGGTATGTGACGCTAAATGCGGGCGATTTAGCCTAGGTAGCACGATGCGGCGGGCACACATGGCAGTGAGCCTTTGTGGTGCTCTCGTATCGGATTTTGGATCATCCTTTGAAGGGCTTCTCGACTTCTTTGATCTCTCAAAATACATGATATCGTCACGAGAGCTAACCACCTCTCAAGCTGATCTTATTCGGACAGCTGTACCTGCTGCAATGAATGCGACTTCGAAGCTCGCTCTTGTCTCGGACATCTTGTTCAATCGGTCTCATTTTAGCAGCTAGCGGTCCCCCGGGTTTTTTCCGTAACACGCTAAGTCTCCGGGTACGTAACATATCCAATGGTGGTGGCCTGATTACTTCTGAGCGTATGCACCATTTGTAGGCCAAGGCATCGGTGGGCAGGAATACATCCGTCATTTCCGCTTACGCAGGGGTATCAGAAACCCTTCGCTGTTCTACGGAGGCGATAACTCTAGATTGTCATGTGAGTCGTCCTTGTGGTCAACTCTTCTCTCTTCTTCATCCTGAGCCTGTATCTACACTAAAGAGTGCTGAATAAAGCATGCACGTCCAAAAAAAACTGGAGCTGGTGTATCGGGTCATGAAGAGCGGCCACCTGGTCATCAGACACTCGTCTCATTTTGCCACAATGGATGGAATACACTTTCCGAGAACCCCTTGAAAATGTTGCATATATACGACCGCTTTCACTGCGATTCCTACACCCCCGGGTTTCTTGAAACCAGCTGCTTTCATCATGAAAGGCTTCCTCCTGTGTGCTGCCCTTGCGTGTTCTTTCAACGTGGGTGGTGTCTTCGCAGGCTTAGTACAGAAATCAGGCCTTGTCCTTCCTTCAAGCGCCAAAACACACCAAGCTACCGTCAAGAGCATTTTCTTGGATAGCTACAGCGCGTACAAGTGTGTACTATGATCGAATGTTGACTAACGGAACATTAACATAATATGTTGCTTCGCAGGAAATACGCCTGGGGCCATGATGACATGACTCCGGTCACCAAGTCGTTCACCGACAGTCGTAACGGTTGGGGTGCGACCATCGTAGATGCACTAACTACGCTGGTAAGCAGATATATCTTGTGAGATAAACACGCTACTAATGGAGAATCGTAGTACATTATGGGCGAAGAGGTTCTGCATAGAATTGATGTTTAAGTTTGTGACTAAACTTATATTCGCAGGATCTTTTCGAAGAGGCCGTAGCATTCGTCGGTCAAATTGATTACAACATCTCGCATACGACGGACACTGTCAGGTAAAGACCCCTTATCCTTGCAGCGTTGATGCATTGCGAAAACTTGAATCTTCTAGTGTATTCGAAACGTCGATCCGGTATCTGGCGGCAGCACTGAGTGCCTATGAACTCAGTGGGCAGAAACACCCAATCCTTGTAACGAAAGCCAAGCAAGTCGCCGACAAGATGTCAGTTGCCTGGGTTGGTGTGAGTGCTTTGATGCCCAATCCAGTGAATATCAATCTGAAGTTTTACCCGCAGAGCAACACTATTCCCTTTGGTGAGGTTGAGTTCAATTCAAGTACCCCGCAGATAGCTACTGTGAGTCTAGTTTTCGTTGTATCCCTGGATGCTGGCACGCTAACACCATGTATTAGTCTAATATCGCCGAAGCGGGAACTGTAGGTGGTTCGTTACCTTTTGTCGGACTTTGTTAACTTACAATCTTCCGCAGCTTACTTTGGAATGGTCTACCTTAGCGTATGCTTCATTTCGATTTCCGCTCCACCGTGGGGAGGCTCACGTGAATTGAACTTCTTTTAGCAAATACACTGGAAACGACACGTATCGTCGGCTTGCTGAGGGGTCTGTCAGGACGATCGCTAGCTTGGTGAGCTCTAGGTCGCGGATGCCGTTGAAGATAATATTTATTTTTATAACCTATTCCAGCCCGATCCCCTTCCGGGTCTTGCTCCGCAAGGCATTGACCCCAGCACTAGCACATTTACTGATGCATATCTAGTGCGTCTATCCAGTTCTACTGTGATTTTGTATCTCATTGGTGCCTGTCTGTAGACGTGGGGAGGAGGATCAGACAGCTACTTCGAGTATCTCATCAAATATCCCCGACTTACCAACACCAACGATAATGTCTTCGCCGATACTTGGGCAACGGCAGTCGACTCATCTATAAAACGACTTGCTGTGGTACGTTGCGAGGAAGACTCGTCCGATATCTCCTCGTTCTCACTGTATTTCAAACTATAGACATCCACCGTAGGCAACCACCTATACCTTGCAGATCAGGACGATACGGGCGAGATTGTGAATGTGGGGTCACATCTGGCTTGTTACATGGCTGGAAACTGGATACTCGGTTCGTGTCCATCCCGTTACCCTCTTGTTGCCTGATTTGACTCTTTGGTCGCAGGGGGCAAGCTCTTGAACAATGCTACTATTGTCGACTATGCTCTTCAGTTAAACGATGGGTGTTGGAACACCTATGCTAGCACTGCGTACGTATCTGGAATTCAATCCTTGTAAATCTTGCTCAATTAGTTATATACCCTTAGCACGGGCATTGGCCCTGAAGCATTTGCCTACTTCTCCAATAAAGGAAACTACACTGGCCAAACTGTCACTCCAGAATTACAAACTTTCTTCGACCAGCACGGGTTCTTCATCGAAACAGGTTCAGAGTATTATTACCTTCGCCCTGAAGTTCTGGAGTCGAACTTCTACGCATGGCGTGCCACGGGAGACACAAAATACCTCGATCGCGCCGCATCTGCAACTAGCAGTTTCCAAAAGTTCTTGAGTGCTCCTGCCGGCTTCGGAGGAATTTGGAACGTTAGCGATACTGTCAAGTCAGACGACAATTTCATTGACGACACGGAAAGTTTCTGGTTTGCGGAAGTGATGAAATACTTGTAAGCTCCTCTAATTTCTTCTAAGCAACTAGTTCCTCATATCTGTGCAGATACCTGACTTTCGATGACCCGAACCACATCAGCATTGATGAATGTAAGGTGTTCATGTACGTTTACCTTACGCATACTAATAAATTTCCCAGGGGTATTCAACACTGAGGCACATCCCTTCCAAGCACCGCCGCCGAAGGCATCCTACGGAAGTGGGACGATTGGTGGATCTGCGTTCAAGCAGATGAGCTTGCCCTTCAAACCAACCGGCCCCCTTCCGGCCGTCAGCCCCGCCCCCATTCTGAAGGGGCATAAAGTCTAGTGATGTCTGAATAGACTCGGATGTAATGGCACCCTTTCGCACACAAAGTAGTATCTCTGTAGTACTGCTGTTCTTGTATAGTACTAGTTGTCTTCAAGGTTCATATAAAAACCCTAAATCGTTTGTCACTTTATAAACTGAGTAAACCGTGGTGTATAGGTCAAGCAATAGTATAAGGTCAGACTGATCACGGTGCCCAATTTTCTCGCGCGCTGCTAGTGTCCGCGTGAAGCCGACGGCGCTAAATCGAACGTCTGCTCCCACCACAACCATGAGCATCCTCTCGTTTTGTCTGCTTTCTCTGCTGGTCGTCTCCGGCACTGACGCGGCCAAATTGAGTCTCCAGTCTCCTCGGTTTACTATCTCCTCCTCGAATGCGACGCAACTTCGGGCAGAACCGTGCGTGACAATATCAGCCTTAATTGTAACTGACACGTATACGCGTTCTATGGCAGGATCTCACTTGCTCAACAACCTGCACCACTCACACTAGGACTAACGGACGTACTGAAATTGACTTTCCAAGTCATCGAGAAAGATGAAGGAAAGGGAGTCCAGCCCCATCAAACGTTCTTGAGGTTCTACGACAAAGTCTCGGGCGAGGAAGGTATCCAACCTATACGTGTGACGCCTGCGGGGAAGGCAAAATTCGAATTGGTTTGTCATGAACAGCATGTTATGCTCACTATCTAACTCCTTTTACTTCGTTTCATAGAATATGGCCCGTCCCCCCACGTCCCTGCCTCCAACAACCTCTTCAGATCCGCTCAGCGTCAGTCTACTATTAGGTTCCTTCGAGTACTCTCCTGTCCAGTTCGATATGTTCGATATATACCTCCCTGAATCTCAGCCTGCGCCGCAACATCCGGATGAAGCGACTTTCCATCCTTTGCCTACCATTGTTCACACGTTCCGCGCAGAGCAAAAGCTGCCTCCGCGCCCTATATCTGCGACGTTTGCTGCACTCGTCCTTGCACCCTGGGCTGTTCTACTTGGTCTGGTGAGTCCCCATCCCCTTCCTTTTAAATAGTCGTACTGACCTATCTCGAAAGTGGGCACAAATCCAACCAGACGTTCGGCACCTTTTTTCACCAAGCATTTTGCCATTTATCACGACGCTTGGTGCTTTTGAAGGCCTTCTATTCTGGTATTGGGTAGATCTAAAACTTTGGCAAGTTCTGTTGTATGGCGGGGTGCTGGGTTTGTTTACCGCATCGGCGGGCAAGCACGCATTAGCGACCAAGGGAGACTGGAGACTCCGGAGAAAATAAAGTGTGTGCAGATTCACTCATTTCATGGGGTCCTCATCATTATTGTCTCTTCGTTGTTCTATTATTCTGCAGCAACGCCTATAGACTGTGAAACTTTGTCGAGACGTGGCTCCATTTACTACTATCTATAAAGGATGGGGTATCGTGCGGCCCCCCAAAAAATTGATACCTTCAACGCCGCTAGCACAGGCGTGAAAAGCTACAAATAAATGTCGAAGGACGTTAACAATTGACCGTTGACTACGCGGGACATGGATGAAATTTGAATTTGTTATCAAGAGTAAAAACTAGACCCTAGCGTGATTTGAACACGCGACCCTGCGATATTAAGACAAGCTGCAATCGCATGCTCTAACCACTGAGCTATAGAGTCGGGTACCACCGCCTTTTCACTCAACGAACCTGTTAATAAGCTCTCGGGTGCCGACCTGTTCGACAGGGTTCGACGCGGAGGAGGAGGCGAAATCGCTCGCCACACAGCGCCACACGCACACGATTTCACTTTTGTATCGAGGACCATTGAGGTTGATCAGGTTTGTACACTTATTAATTTGTCCTTTGGACTCTGTGTAAGATCTCATTACTTCGTAATCAGGCCTCTCCAGCGACACGTATCACCCAAGTGATCAGTCTTCGCAAAATGGGCACTCGCGGATACAAAGTGTACAGGCACAAACGGTGGTACTTTGCTTACTATAAACCCTACGATTCATATCCTGAGGGACTTGGCGTCGATTTTCTCACCTCTGTACCCACGGATCCCGATAAATTTCAAATGTGGCTCAATCAATATCGTGCCGACTTTGACAACCTCCTTGTTGAACGGGAAGAACTACTTGCCAGAGCTGAGGATTTTGATGATCCGGAGGAAGAAATAGAAGAACAACTCGGCGTATTGATCACTAGGGAACAACCAATGAACGAATGGGTATACGAATGTGATTTGGACAGGTTAATTTTCCACGTCGATCATATGCCTATGTATCCTTTGGACCACATGCCACCCGAAGACATCTTCCTTGCGAGTATCGACACCGACTTGTATGGTCATCGCAAATGCTCACAAATGACCCCCGAAGAGTATAAATTCACTCCAGAATCAATCCCGCCGCCCCCAGTCGAGGATCTATCTCTTCTGACATTCCGTAATCAACCGAATGCATCTACTCCAATTTTGCCACACGAGTTATTAGGTATTGCTCAAATGCCATCGCTGGTAGACATCGTTTGCATTCGAGCAACGGAAGTCAACATTGGGGTTTGCTTGTATGGATGGGGTTGCACGATAGCCCAGGAGGTGATGCTAGCATCACCTAGAGAGGAACTTTCAGACATCGCGGTGGCAATGAGCTTGTCTCTTGCCAGCATTGCCCTACTTCCCATCCACCTGTTTTCGGAGGGCAATCCACTCACAGTCGAGCGGAAGCAGCCTGACAGCTTTTACTGGATGCGCCGACACATTTGTCTTACGCTTGTTACTCATCTACAACACGAGAGAAATTTAGAAGCCGCTGTATCCGAACTCGTTGACGAGATTTCTAAGAAATCCGAGGCACAAGGGATAGTGTTCGGTGTGGCATTTTCTGTACTGCACTGCGTCCTCGTCAGAGTGGACAAGACCGCGGGAGGATCATGGAGGCACTCCGGTGCCCTACAGTTCCTTCCATCGTTCTCCGCGACATCTCCTGACACTCCGGGTATCACAGCCTTAGTGCGTCTGAGGAACCTACCAGCGAAGGACGACATCCAATTCTTTCATGCTTTGCTGTCCTCAGTACCGGCAGTTGATTCTCGTCCCTCAGAGGATAAGACTATCCAGAGGCCAACCAAATTAGAGATTCTGTCTCTTGCTCCGGAAATCCTTGATCAAATAATAGCAGAAATCGAGGAACCAGCGGACCTGAGAAGCCTCGCACTGACGTCTACGGGCATCATGTGCGCGGTCATCCCGCATTTACAACATCCCCAGGTCAATGTCAATGTCTGCGAGGGGCTTATTCTGAGAGCAGTTTATCCGGCTGTGTCCGATCGAGAGCGACAGGAAGCGCAACACCTCCGGGAGAACGTCCAAGATCAAAATAAAATCAAGGATGAAGAAGAAAACGACCCGGCTGCGAAGGTGCTATCGGCTTCATTTGTAACAACATATCAGGGGAAACGTTGTGTGTGCGACGTCGGAAAGCTATATAGGCTCTTCTCACCTCTCGCTGCATCTCGCACCCAGGTGCAAAGTGAGGATACTGAGATCCCTATTGTCCAGGCTCCTGATCTACGGCCGCCTGGGTTCATCTATAGGGTACACATCTCAAAGGTCTAAGTTACGTGCCATCCGCTTTGAAGTTTACGGTTCCCAGAAGTCGCACAGAAATAGTATGGACTAAGATTAGATGCGAATTGCAAGGCATTCTGCATGCATTCGTACAATTTATGTCGAGAACATTGGCAGTCATGTAACGTAGCAAGGAAGTTGTTTAATGAGGGGTCCGTGAGAGAAAAGTTTGCCACGGCAGAATTACCGCGAATAAGAACCTTATGGCAGGATGTGATGCAGCAGTATATGCTACTAAAGCCTCCAAGCAATCAACCGTATCCAGCATTCCTAGCTTCAGCTAGGATCAGCTTCCCGTCACGGTTATCTACACGAAGCCCCTCTTGTGACGCAGCCCTTTCGAAAGCACTGATGAGTTTTCTTGCGTTCGAGAGACTGTTTGATGGTTCCCATGTACTCTCCTCTGTTGCGTATCTTTTTTAAAGTCAGTGCCCAATATATTTCCGCAAAGCGCTGTACACATACCCCTCCCACTTAACTAAATAATTATACTGAAGCGGGTGAGCTTCATCGTCCTCGTCGACTTGTGGCTGCCGTCCGATCAGTCGTTCGACGAAGAACTCAGATCCGGCCGTAGTTGGTATATCACATCGCGGTCGCGCACAACGTTGGTCTCGGATTTTAAGATGTTTCCTGCTTGCACCTACACGATGATCAGAGGAGCGTCTGTGGGAAAGCAACATATGGACTAGACTCACCTGTCTTATCACTAACGAGCCGTGACCGCGAGTTTATAAGTACGAAAGAAGATACCGGATGTGAAGGACACGTACGATGACTGATCACAAGGGGGACAAATAAACTCCGCTTTGTCTGTTGTACGCTCGTCACCTTCGGCGATATCGACGCAACCCCAGTGATACCATGCATTACATCTGCTTTTTGTATAAATAAAAAGCCATAAAATCAGTATCGAAGAGACATACCGGTCGCATAAAATGAGCTAGGCTCCCGTGTCAGCTTCTGTTAAGTTGGCAAAGGCAAGATAACCTTGTCACTTACATTCTTGTAGCGCGAATTTCTGTCAATAAACATCTCTGGCCAGTTGCACGATCCTTTTGTGCCCTGCGAAAGATTTCTATGTTTCGGCGTGATAGGTTGGTATGCTAGTGCGCTGCTGCCCTTGCGTTTCTTCAGATTGTTTGCTGTGGATGTCGACGCCGGCTGGCTCGCAGAGTAAGTACTGAAAACAACATGACGAACAGGCTCAGTCTTTCGCCTCTTCTGCGGAAGGGCCTGGGGTTTCTTGAGTTCTTTAGCTTTGGAGGGACTTCGGGTTTGTCTGGCATGCACAGAACCAGGACTTGCCGTAGAAATTGTGTCACGAGCGAGCGCACGTGCGACCGCTGTGGAAGATGTCTCCGAATCGGGTTCATGGTTAGACGGTACAGATGAGAGCGATGACATGGAATCCGACCAAGACTTCGTCAGACGCGACGATCGTGGGGTGACGACTACAACAATCGGTCAATTAATATACGCAGAACAATTCATATACAACGCTTACAATTTGAAGGTGTAGCCACGTCTCCACTATCAGTGTCAGAAGGAACCTTTGAGCTTCCTGTAATGGGCTCAGAAACGCGCAAACGTTTTGTAGGTCGCGCTACACGAGGAGGAGATGGTACATCATCAATGTCCCAGGAAGTAGATCTGGGAGGTAAAGCGACAGGCTTATTAGAAGATTGTTTGGTTTTTTTGCGAGTCTGCAAGGGGAGCGAGTCGTTATGGGACTCAGAGCTGGCGGTAATTTCTACGCCACCGTTATCATTGAAAAGCGAGGACACCCGCCCAAACTGAGACTTGGGAAGTATATTGAACATCTCCAATGAGGGGCTTCGAGCTCGTCTGCGTTTGGAAGGTTTAGAAACAACAGGCGATGGAGTTGCGGAAGATATCAAGATTGGAGAGGCGATAGCTCCTTGAGAGGGTTTCAGCGACGTGGAGTCTATCTCAGAAGATGGCGTCCCGGGCTCTCTAAGTGCTGGCTCATGCTCGTCCTCGATGCTTAATTCGCCTTCCAGATTCAGATCCAGTTGCGATTGTGAAGAATGATTGGAATCTGGAAGGACGACGAAGTCTCCGCCGATTGAGATCTCTGCACTGGCATTAATCTTAAAGTCAGCTTCTGGACTAAAGGATGCCTCCTCAAGAAGTTTGAGAGGACTTATGCCTAGAAGAGCGGTCAATAGAGCAAACAGGAGCGCGAACGGTCATTTTCTCTACCTGAAGATGAGTCTCCAGACGACCGCTGGCGTTCTCCGGTATTGCGCCGTTCCAACCCTTCGTTCAACTCTAAGGGGGGTACCTCCGAAGGCGCTCGTCTGATAGATGGGACTATATGCGGTAGGTCAGTTACCTCTCAGGAAGTATGCATACACGCACTTACTCAGTATTGGAGAGGTTGCTGTCGATACTACCCTTCGAATGGGATCTACCAGCTCTGTTGTTTGAACGGAGATGCTGGTATGGAAGGCTTCCGCTTCACCCTCTTGCATAACGACGTCTTCTGCTGAGGCCTGTGACGTGGCGTCCACGCCCACGCTCACGAATGCACGCTCGGATTCGTGATGTACGGCACTGATGCCCACATCGCAGCGCTCGACTCTCAATTGAGGGTCAAATCCTGTATGAACTGTGTCGCAAGAAGCATTGAGTAATTTGGTATGTTCAATCACAAAGGCGGCATCTACACCTCCTTCCTGTATTGCGTTGTGACGGATATTTATTGTTGAGTTGGTCCCCAAATCTTGTTGCTCGGATAGAGGCTCTAAGAGCAGGTTGGTTATATGCGCACCTAGAATATAGGAGACCACTTACTCTCTGCATCGGGGTCGCTTGTTTTTTCTAGCAACTCCATCAAAAGACATTCGACTGTCTCCAGTCGGCTCATCATGGACTTCCCGCCACTCATAATCTCCTTTCCAGTATCCACGTCAGTGATAATGATTGCGTCTTCAGGCCTCCCAAGCATCTTCTCGACGCGTTCGACGCGTTTGAGGGTTCGCCCCATCGCGTTCGTTTGCGTAACAAAGGCCTTCTCT